TGTGCAAGCCAGGAAAAATCCCCACACGTACCAATGACACGAGAAACTGTATTCTGTGCAGGTACACACACACACACACACACACACACCTGTCAAAAATAAGCACCTGTTTAAAAATCTAATTTACAATCTGGGCAATTAAATTATTTGAATTGTGAACCTGTTGCGGATAAAGTTAAATTGACATTTTATTGTCTCAAATTATTGCGTTTGACTTTGAGGCTGTAATGGAGGAGAGCAGCCAGTGATTTATCATTTAATCCCAGCATGTGTAATCTGTTCCTCCACAACCCTGGTGAGATGTTTTTATCATAATTATATTGTTCCTGATTGTCAGATGTTGATTCGCATTAGCGGTGGAAAGGCAAATTCTTGCTCGGAGGGAGATTTGTGTGGATTCAAAGAGCCAGCAGAGCGAGCTGCAGAGAGCTGCTGAGAGATGGACTGGTCAGCAACAATAACCCGGCGCTCACCGCTGCAGGAGACAACGCCAAACTACTGTAGGCTCGGCTACACCTCTCAAGTGGTTAATTAAATGAGTCCACGCACAGAGCTAGCACACTACGCTTGGTTTACCATAAACAATGTGATTAAAGCGGCCATGGGCCAGCCAGAATGTAGAGTTGGAGGAGAAAAAAAGAATTCATATCACCATGGAGATGTGTGAGAAAAAGAGGTATGAATGCAGATAGGGATGTCATTATTACTTTTTTATTCATTATTTTCATAATGACTGTCATTATGCGCAGGCTCTGATTGAATTCCATTTTGTTAGTCAGGTTTGTGGCGAGCAGAATAATTATCACTTAAGTGACATTAAGATTCATGCAGAACATTTTCATGGTCAGAGCTGTGCATGTTTGGCAAAAGGACTTGCTCTCCTTTGATAATAAAAGAAAAGAAGAAAAAGGTAGAAATGAGTTGCGACTGATTAGCGAGGGGACAGTAATATCGCCAAACCATTTTAAAAGCCGAGCGTGAATATTACAGAGAGATTTAAACCCATTGTGCCGTTGTTTTAGTTTGATTGCTTTCAGAGCGACAAAAATAGGCAACAGTCGGTATAGAAAACCAACAATTACATCATCAGACGGCTGGTTCGTTAGGAACCGGATTAAATGTGTGCAGTCAGAAAAAATGGAGGTTTAGCTGCAAAGAGACAATCAGTTGTTCTAGAAAGTTCAACGTGAGCGTCTCCCGTCATGTGAATCACATCAGGCGTCAGCAGTCGGCTGCATTTACTCGGAGCTCCGTGTCATCAGCTTTAGAGGATTTTTATTATCGTTAACAAATGTAGAACATCATTTATTCATATTTTAAAAAATCAAAAACTTAAAAACACGTGTGAGGGACTATTTTCTGTCACAGATCTGGAGCTTCTGGTGCGGCGAGACGTCAGAAACTCTGGAGGAAGTTGAATAAGATGCAGACGTTTTATTGGGACAAGGTTTTGTTGAGCTGCTGTCATGTCTGAGCTGCACAGAGGAGTTCTCAGGCGCTATCATCAGCTCGTATGTATAACAATCTACTGATATGCCGTTTATCATTTTGTGCACATTTTTAAACATAACTTGTAGCGTGACTGCTGCGTTCGGTCCTTTTCAGACACATTCATGCTGTGTGAAGGAGTTTATAAATGGCTTATAAAGATAATTTTGAACTAATGATCCTCCAGAGAATAAAACACGACTTCAGCTTTTGTTTGCTTTCTGCTCTGCTGCCTCCATAAAGTCTAATATTTTTAACAATAGGGAGTTTTGTAGGAATTAGCTCAGAAACCTCCAGCAGCTCGACCTCTTCCTAACGTCAGAATGTGTTGTTAAATTCCAAGAAATATTAAAAGATGTGTTTTTGCACTGATTGGGCCGCCTTCGTTAGCAGAGTGTGACACACAGGAAGGCAGTTTGGGCATTAAAACAGGAGAAATCATCTTCTGAGTTCCTGTAACGTGGGTGAACTTTTCCATAGTTCCACATATGTACTGAGTGTGATGTTGTTCTGTCGTTTCTTCTCCCTGTGTCCCTCAGACCAGCAGCAGCAGCAGCAGCAGCAGCAGCAGCAGCAGGCGGGCCTGCAGCCTACCAATGCGTTCAGCGAGGGGGGATTTGGCCGGCCTCTAATCAATCACTGACAGATTACCTCCAAAGCCACTTCCACAGCCATTAAAGCAGGACAAATGCAGAATTGCAACTGAACAAGTTGGAGTTTTTAAGCCAACACCAGGACTTCCTGGTTATTTGTCAAAGTCAGTGCCACTGAGCCGCATGAGTGGCCGCCTGAGTGTGTGCGGGGCTGCGAGGCGAGCGGGCCGGCCGCTCGCTCGCTCTGTGTGTCGGCGAGAATGAGGGAGAGAGCGAGAGACAGTAACAGAGTGAGTGAGTTATTGTTAGTGTGTGTTTTTATGCTCTCAGGTGTGTGTGTGTGTGTGTGTGTGTGTGTGCGTGCTGGCGGCGGCGTTGCTCTCGGCCCACTGGAGCTTACAGTAAATCACATTGCCTTTATTGCCAAATTTAGCAGCTTATGCTCAATAGGCTCTGCTCAAATCTACGCCGTGTCCCATCAGGGCGCTAGTCTGGGCTCATAAAAGAGGATTGGCCACTCTCTAGCCTCTGAGCAAAGACGACTCATCCCCTCCTCTATTTTCCTACATTATTCCCCCTCTTCTTTATCTGAGCGACTGGAAACACTGTCTGGGCTTCTCTAATCTCTCCTTTCTGCTCCCTCTGGATTCCCTGGCTTTGACGTCCCCCCTCCATTGTGCCCCATTCACTGGGGCTTTGTTTACATCGGGGTATATTTGATAGAAGACACTATGAAATTGGATATCATCATTTTCACAGCCTGTATTACCAGGGGAACGCACCCTGCTCCCAATGTATTGTAAAGAATAGACATTTTATCCTATAAGCTTTGCTTTCTACCCAAATGGATTCTGACGTTTCCTCGTCTTGGCAGACACGCCGGGTTAAGTGCTGATAATTATTTGGAAAAGATCAATAAAACTATGGAAGAGGGACATCAAAGCAGAGCGTTTTCCCTCTTATACCACCAATATGGTACATTTGCGGCGGAGGTTTGATTAGCGTGACGTTCGGGGAGTGCTTTGATTAGGCGCTTTGTTTTTGCCTGGTATTAAAGAACAGGCCTCGTGTTTCATTTAGAGCCGTGATTTCATAAATAACACATGAGCTTTGCTTTTTGGTTGTTTTGTGTATCGAGGAGGGGGGAAAATACACAGGCAACAAAAAAAAAGAAAAGGAAAAGTGCAGTGTTGAAGTGATGAGGGCCGACACTGAAGTCCGCAGGCGCTGGGGTTGAAATTTAGCTGGTCATGTGACTATGACTCCCCCCTTTGTGTGACCCCAGAGAGAGAGAGGAGGAAAAAAACACTCAACACGGGAGGCGGGGTTGTATTTGTAGGTATGTGTGCATCCTTTTTTGTGCACTTTGTTCATGTCCACGCTGTGTGTGCGTGCTCCTCCACCCCCCTCCTATTCAATTAAGAGCTTAAGCTCATTAGTGGCAGACTTACATCATTACCTCTCCAATGGCTAATGAGTTAAAATCTATTTAGATTTATGTTGCCGTTAAATCTTCCCCACACACACGTCACAAATCACAACGTATCCTCGCACAAGGTTTTTCCGTAGCGATGTGGGAGCCTTTTATAGCAACGCTGCATATTCAACACACTTGAATTATACCTTTTTGCCTTCAGTATGGAAATCAGAGCGTGCTCAGTGATGTACCTGCACACTGTAAGGTAACACAAAGACCTGCTTCCCCTCGCCGACACATCACAGACCTGATGCATGGCAGCAGGCTTCTCTGGGTTTTTTTTTTTTTTTAAATTGCCAACTAATAATTAGCACTCAGTAACATAAAGAACACTCCTTCACGAAGCTATTACGCAGCGATTAGCTGAGTTTTCAATCAATTTTAATTACGCTAACAAATTCCTGATTGCATTGCAAGCTGCACAGTTTTAATGAATTGGTTGAATTGTTAAAAAAAAAAAAAAAATTATTGAGAGTGAAAGGTGGAGGGTTGCAGCTCAGGCCTGTTTGAACAAAGACTGGGGATGAGAGGCAGGTGTAGGAGGCTGGAGGAGGATGGAGGAGGATGGAGGCGTCCACTGGTGACTCAAGGACACCAGGCCTGGACGTGGAGCTGCTGACCTCAGCACACTCCACCCAAACACTTTATTTATTATTTGTCTTAAAATCGCACACTTTGCTCTGGTTTATTAACCTCAGCTTGAATTTTTTGCCACACTGAGGATGATTTTTTTCCTCCATCACACACACACGCACACGCAGGCACGCACGCACGCGCGCGCCCTGTCAGCGTGGTGGGGGTGATATTAGGAACAATGAAGTGACAGCTCCTCCATCTTTGATGTCTTGTTTAAACCTGCTCTCCCCGCTGATGCTTTGATACCGCGCTAACTGGGACATTTTCATTCTAATTAGGGCTTCAATTGCTAATTCCATATTGCCTGCTATAATTATCACCGGGAGACGCGCGCGGGCGCTGCCGGGCCGGTGAGCAGCTCAGGTTGGGGGTGACGCTTCCTGTCTGGGAGGTGGAGGATGAAGTTTATGACGGAACTTTGAAATGAACCAGTGTCCATCTTTAGCGGGATTAAAGGCGTCACTGGAGCCGGCAATGCGCTCAAAGTTAATGAAAAAAGTGCGCGTGACCTTTAATTAGTTAATTTGGGGGAGATGAGTTGAGCAGAAGTGACTTGTTAAATGTCTGTCTTCTCTCCTCAGCTCTGTGCCAACCTTGCCACGCAAACCAGACGCCCATAATAACCTTATAGGCAATAATTGGAATTTTTCTCCCCCCCTCTCCCTCTCCGCTCTCCCCCCTCTCTTCCTCCTTCAGGCGCATGCGCAGTGGGGAGCGTACTGGTCAGTCTGAGAAGCAGCTGTTCAGGGCTGGTGAAATTCCAACATGGCAGTGGCTGTGGTCAGTGTTTCCTGCGTTAACTTGGGATGGTTTCAGCTCGCACGCAGCCCGGCTTAACCTCGGCGCCCCGTTCATCAGCAGCAGCCCTCCCCGGGATCGATGCGACCCTAACCCCCCCACGTGAGAGGTCGACCTGTCGCTAGGAAAAACGCAGGTAAGGAAGGATAGTCCGGGATCCGCTGCGTCTGCAATTAGACCGAGCGGTCAGAGCAGACAGCAGCGCGTCTGTAGAGGAGATCCGAGCTGCCTCCTCTCGGATTAATGCATGTGCACTTTGTGATTTGACAAGTTCTTTTTCTGTTTTTGCGGAACGACAGACCGAGCGCGTATCGCTGCGTAAAAATGTGGTGGTGGTGTTTTTTTGGAGCGCACCTGCGCCGCGGTTAGATCGCAGAGGCTCGGACACGTAGGCTGCACACAGGGTCCCTGTTTGCGTGTGTTTCGGCTGTGCGGCACTCTGCGAACAGGGGCACAAATACACAACTTGCATGCACACGGAGGCTTCGGTCGGCGAGGCGGCGAGCTGCGGTTACAACAAGTTGTCCTGCGCACGGCGGATCCGGTGGCACCGCAGCGCCTCTCATCTTAGTCCGTATAAAAAATAAATAAAACACAAGCCTGGGCATTTTCTGTGAGCACATTGAAGTGCACACAGACTGAGCACCAGTTGATTTTCTCCATATTCTCCCCCCACCTCCCTCCTCCTCCCCTCCTCTCCTCCTCCTCCTCCTCCTCCTCCACCGCTGCCTGTCATCCCGAGCTCCACTTTCTAATGAGATGCATGTAGGTTAGATGCCTCTCCTATTGAGTTGCTCCTTCCAAAGACTCGCAGGGCCCACCTTTCACACGGCTTGAAATCCGAGCAGAGCTGCACCCTTAACAAAAAAAAAGTGTCTTGTATTGTAAAGCTTTTTCTTTTTTCTTTTTTTTTTTTGCTTGAGAGGGAATCCTTCCTTCCGCTTTTTTTTCTCCTCCACAAATTAATTCCAATGCTCTCATCTCCTCTTCCTCTCTCTCTTCCTCTCCCTGTTCCAGCACGACATGATCAGCAGCAGCAGCGTCTATGGTAGGTGCATTTTTATTCCATCAACTTTTGCACTTTTCACGCACTTTCCCACCAGTAGTATGATTATTATTATTGTTATTATTGTGATTATTCTGATTATTATTGTTGGTGCACCAGGAGGTGTGTGAGCAGCTGGTGGAGCTGATGCAGGATGTGTTTCAGGTTCATCAGCTGATTTGGGGGATAAATGTCCAAATCTGGGTTTATTTGGACTCTTTTATATTTCACACAAATGCAGCCTTCAGTCACACACACACAACATGGTAATTAATATTTGGTGACTAAGTGCTACGTTTAAATTACACATGGCTTCATTTGCAGCCCTAATTAGATTCTTTTTTTCTTTTTTTTTAGATATTAAATTAATACAGTTGTGGAATATTGTTCTTGAACTTTTTTTTTTTTTTTAAATCTTTAAAACAGCACAGAAATCACTTAATAAGGATTTATTTAAAATTTGTGGTCAAACATGAGAATAATCAGAAATCCGCTTAATGGAGCAGGTTGATGCGATGGAGGCCTCGGCCCCTGCACACTGAAAATACATATTTATGACTTTTATTTCCCACTAATTGCACTTTATTTTATATGTTTGCTTTATTACATTACAGCAGAACTGTGCTGGTGATTATTAATGCCATCATGTGGGGCAATTATGGATCGATAGCACGAATAAACAGCTGCAAAAATACATCCAGCATTTTTTATTTTTTTTAAAAATCATAATTTGTGAACGATTGCTGCGGCGGCGGCACAAATTCGAAACAACAACAAGAGCGAGCTGCAGCCACGCCGCCTGTTTGTGGTGACGGCACACAGTCCAGGAATGAATAACCGCACACATCCACAGTTGCACATTCTTGGTTTTTGCAGCAGCTATTAGCGAGGACTCGACCTTTCACCTTTGATCTCTTTTTCTGCGCTCACACACACACACACACACACACACACACACACACACACTCTTGCTGCATGTGTGTGTTGTACACATGCAGCACGTGCAGCTGCATTTCTGCTCATATTCTCCGACTTTAACAGAAAATACAGACGACACAATGATAGAAAACCACATATTGCAGATTCGCTGTATCGATGCGTCAAATTTCACTTCTTGTGTGTTTTTTTGTTTTTTTGCAGCTTTTATTTTTTAAAACAGTTGGAGAGGGTTGGTTGCACTTCAGATTTATCAGTTGATGCTGTTGTTGTCTTGCTTTATTGCTGTTTTTGTTTGAAATTCAGGCTTCCCACATGATCGTACCGACGAGTTTTGAAATTCAACCGTGTGTATGTGTGTGTGTGTGTGTGTGTGTGAGGAGGAAACGCAGGCATGTTGGTTCTGTGTGTGTGTGTAAATAATGTAGATGCTCAGCAGTTTGTTTATTCCTCTAAGTCTATTTGTTTGCTACAGTCCTCGGCTTCAGATCTGCGTCGGCTGTCTGCGTGTGCTGCGGTGACAGTAGCAATAATCCCCCTCATTATACACAGAACGTATCGCCTCACATCTCCGGCAGCCCCCCGATACAGCTAATAGGGACACAGAGAGGGGAGATAATAGGAGCAGAAGAAGAAGAAGTGCTCTACAAACAGGCGCCCCTTTACTCTGCCTTTATTTATCTAAATACGGACTTTTCCCTCAAATGAACAGGGAGAGCCGGCGAGCTGCGAGGGTGGCTAAGCTACTCCCAGCGGGGCCGTATAAATAAATTATCCTGACACTTTCTATCAGTCTGTAATGTTTACCATTAAAAGCTGTTTTACTGTCCCAGAGCCACCGGCGTGCGGTTTAGCCCGCCCCTGTGGGACTTCTGCCAGATGTGAGGCGACCAGGGGAAATATTGTGCTTTTTAGATACACAGAAAAGGAAGAGGAGGGAAAGAAAAAGAGACATTTGTTAGTCTCCGCCGCTTCCATATCAGTGGATTTCTCCTGTCTGAGCTTCCTGACAAAGGGCCTCTTCAAACGAGATCCAGGCAGGGTTGTCATCTTTTAGCAAATATGTTAAGTGTTATCTTTTGTGCTGTGGGCTCGCCGAGCGGAGCTGGACCCCATGGGAGCCCGGCGCATGCAAATAGAACAAATCCCTCTCGGACCTGTCTGTCTGTTTCACTCTCCTCCATCTCTCTCTCCCCTCCCCTCGCCTTGTCTTCCCTCCACGTTTGCTCGACAGTGCGTCAGCCTGTCTTGTCTCCTTGCTCTCTCATCTATTTCACTCTTTGTCCACTTATTTCCCCTCCTCTCTCTGCCTCTCTCTCTCCGTCCCAGAAGACAGAGCTGGGGCTGTGTGTCAGCTAACTGTAGCGAGGCTGTGTAGTCTTTGTGTGTTTCCCTGCCTGCTCGCTGACAGCCCCCTCCTCGCTGATCTAAGTTCCTCTTCCCAGAGACGGCAGGCAGCTGTCGGTAGCGCCGCTGCCCGCGTTTCTCCGCAGATGAGCGGACGCCGATTCCTTAAAATCCTTGACACGGTGATCCGCTCACTCCCCCGCCCTCCTCCCCTCGGTGCTTGCTGCAGTTTTTTTCACATGGGGGTTTTGTTTTTTGTGACTGACGGTTGCCGGTTGATGGATTTCTTTTTTTTTTTTTTTCCACGTTGCAACTGAACCTTTCTCACACACTCCTCTGGTTCCTATTCATTCTGCCTCTCTCTGGGCGCTGACTGGTTATTATCCAGTCAGGCTCTGATGGGGGTACTTAAGACGAGGGGGTATCCACACGAGATTGACTCCGGGGTGGAATAACACTCACAGCTGACTGGCACAGACCCTGCTGCAACCTGTGATGCTCGGGGCCAACACAGGGCCTTCACACCGGAAAGAGCAGATTTTAGTGGATCTGTGGAAAAAAATCAGATCTGAAGCGACAGATAATAAATAAAGTTCAAGTTGAGGATGATCTGATGGCGGAAGATGTATAGAAATAAAGTTAAAAAACAGAGTGTAGTGGAGGCCGCCAGCAGCAGCTGCAGGGTCAGCTCAGGTCTCTGGAGCAGCTGAGAACCTTTTGAGCCAGAAGAGCCCAAAACCGGTCGAAGATTAGCGTCACCGAATTTCCAGATTCCTCCCTCGCTCGCCGCCAAATTCATTTCCATGTTAATTCCGGCATTAAAAGCATTATCTCCCTTTCTTTGAACTCCGAATCCCCCCCAAATGTTTGAAGTTTCTCGTTTTATGTAACGCGTCATTTTTTTTTGTAGGTTTTTAATCAAATCAAAGCGGTGGATATTATATATTTTCCTTTCCTCCTACCTTCTTTTGCAATCCACTGCCCCCTTTTCTGAATTTTAAACAGACCCCTGCTCACCTCCCTTTACTCTTCACCAGCAATCTCCACCACCCATGGCCCGGATTCTCTGGCAGATATTAAAGCATTCAGCGCGTGGAAGCGTTAAATATGCTAAGGACTTATTAAAAAAGGAAAAAAAAAAAAAAAAACTTCCACTTTGGAATATTCCGCACCATTAGACCTCAATAGACATGGCGGCGTGCAGCTTATCCTTTACATTGTGCCTTCAAATGAGAAGGCGCCGTTTCTAATTAGGTTATTGCCATGGAAGTCTTAAGTTAAATTGTGCATTGATATGCGGAGGAGCTTGCCACTCATTTGGTCCGACGATGGAGGACGCTGCTGCCGATGAGAGCCTCTTTTTTTTTTTTTTAACACAGGGGCCAAAGAAAATGACAGCTAGGGAGCGAGGAAGAGGCTGACTGTAATCTCTTGCTGCTGCTGCTCTTCTCTTTCCGGCTCTGGCTGGATGATCTGATTTTGTTAACAGCGAGCCTTGGCGAGATAGTGGCCGTCTGCTACCTCCTCCCCTCCACCTCCCCCCCACCTCCCTTCCACCTCCACCTCCACCTCCCGTCTGCGGCTCAGTTTGAACGTCTTGATTAGCCAGGCATCTAGCGGCAAGTAAGTCGCCGACACTTTTTTTTTTTGTGTGTGTGTCTGCGAGGCGGCAAAGGTGTGCATGCGCGTTAATGAACAATGGCTCATTGGGTGCGAGAGTGAATTTGTGTGTGTGTGTGTGTGTGTGTGTGTGTGTGTGTGTGTGTGT